AAACACCCACCCCCACGCCAGCGGTCCCCATGTCACCCGTCGCCACATCAACAGTCCCCACGCAAACCGTCACCGAGACAATGGTCCTTCCTGCTAACCATCCCCGAGACAACGGTCCCCACGCCAACCGTCACCGAGACAACCGTGTTCATGCCAGCTGTCACTGAGACAACTATCACCAAGAAAACCATCCCCATACAAACCGTTGCCTACACATCTACATCCACGCCAACCGTCACTGTGACAACTGGCCCCACAACAACCGTCCCAGATACCACTGCCCCCAGGCCAAGTATCCCCACAAAAACCGTCCCCGAGACAAAACCCCCCCCCACGCCAACCCCCCCCACGCCAACCACTGCAACGCCAACCATCGCTGAGACAACAGTCCCCATGCCAAACATCCCCACACCAACCGTCGCCAAGACAATGGTCCCCACACCAACCGTCGCTGAGAAAACCATTCTCCACGCCAACCATCCCCCAGGCCAATTGTCCCCATGCCATCCGTGCCCACGCCAACTGTCACTGAAACAACCATTACCAAGACAACCATCCCTGTGTCAACCTTTGCGTAGACATCTGCATCTGCGCCAACCGTCGCCGTGACAACTGCGCCCATGCAACCGTCCGCAGGGCAACTGTCCCCAAAAAAATCATCCCCGAGACAACCCTCCCCAAAACCACCATCCCAACACCAACCGTCCCCACCCCAACCATCGCCACAACCCAACCGCCACCAAGACAACGGTCCCCACACCAACCGCCGCCAACAACAGTCCTCACGCCAACCGCCAACGAGAAAACCGTCGCCGAGACAATGATCCTCACAAAAACAGACACTGAGAAAACCACCCCCAAGACAACCATTGCCAAAACAACGATCCCCACGCTAACCGTCAACGAGACAACGGTCACCACGACAAACCGCCGAAACAACGGTCCCCACGCCAACCGTCGCCAAGACAACAGTCCTCATGCCAACCGCCAACGAGAAAACCGTCCCCGAGACAACGATCCCCATGCCAACCGTCACCAATAAAACAAT